GAAATTGCAGGACACAATTTGCCACCAAAAGAAGTTAGGTCAGGAACTCAAGGCAGGAACTGAAGCAGAGGTCATGGAGAAAGCGACTTACTGACTTACATCCCCAGGTTTGCTCAGCTACCTCCTTCCCTTTTTTTTTTTCATAAAGATTTTATTTGTTTTATGGAATTTTTGTCATTTTCATACACTATAATTTGATAGTATTTAGATCTCCTTCCATTTCCCCACATATTCTTATTCCCCTCCACTTTAATGTACTTTGTTTTGTATGTATATTATGTATACATATATATATGTATATTAGGATATTAGGGCCTATAGAGTCTGATTTGTGTTTCCAAATGTCCTTCCTGTGGGGCCTCCATTGGTGCCTGCTTAATCAAGAGTTCCATGCTTGCAAAAGACTAACTTCAGTTGCCACAATTTTCTTAGGTGAGGTTGGAGCTTCTTACCCATTCCTCATATCTATGCTGGGATTTTTCCTGGTTCGTGCTTACATGGATTGTGGATGCTGTCACTATTGCTGTGGATTCATAGGAGGAACTAACCAGCTGTCTGGAAAACTGTTTCCTTGTGGTCATGGGCAACCTCTGACTCTTAGTCTTTTTGCCTCCTCCTCCACAACGGTAGGGGGCAGAAGTTGGATATGAATTCTACTCAGTGATTCCACATCATTTCTAATCGACGCTTATATATCAGAAGAGTAGTCCAGAAAATGTAGAGAGGGGAGAAAGCCCATGCATTCACTTTGTGCTTCTCAGCCTTTCAGTTGCATTTGGATCACCTAGGAATCTCCCTAACATGAAACTTCTGATTCAGTGATTCTAGGGTTGGTGTCTAAGGATTTGCATTTCTAACAAGTTTGCAGATGAGGCCTATGGGTCATTTCCTTTGAATGACATCATGGGAAAAAAATGTATAACAAAAGGAAAAACTTAATTATAGAAAGCATACCATGTCCCTAGGAAAAATAAGAAGAAAAATAATCACATTATAAACACAAAACAATGACATAGGGAAAAAGTGGAATCAGTAAACAGAAGGAGCCCAGTTCAGATCTAGGATCAAGGCTATGAGGAAGTCAGAATTACAGAAAGAATGAATCTGATATCCAAGGTGAAACCTTCTGAAGCAGGCACTTACCAACAATAATAGGATAGACAAAGCTAATGTTTGTTACACCTCGACTGCCTACCATATTATGTCAACTTGAACTAGAGTTATCAAGAAGTCGGAAATACTGTAATCTGAGCTGTTGAACATTTCTCTAAAGAAAATTTAATGTGATTAGAAAGGTGAACACAATAAATTAAAAGTGTGGTATCATTCATATTTAACTGAGTAAGTTTTGTTGTGGGTCATAAATACACTGTGATTCTGATACAAATTATTCATTAAAAGACAACAAAATAATAGAAACAATTCTCTCAAAGAAATTTTTCAGGGCTTGACTTTTACATGTTTTCCAAAGGCCTTTATAATGATACATAATTCATGATTCCTATTTCTGTAATGTTGGAAAATGTTCCCCCTCAAAGTGTTTTGTTAATCATTAGGTCACATGGCCAGAGCTATTCTTTAATGTCTTTTTTCCCCTGTTTATTATGTTTCCATTTTGCTTAGGAAACATTAGCCTTTGCTATATGCCCTGAAAGGATCTACTTTCACAATCAGCTTGAACAAAAATTGACAGTTGGACCTTAATGAATGTGCTATGTTGACAATGGATAATATATATAATTATATATATATTTAAGAATTTAGAATGAGAATATAAAACTGAGAAATGCACACATGTAAATACAATAAAGATCAGAAGATAGCCAGCACAGGGGAGAGTGCACGAGCTGAGCACACAAAAATGTGTGAGCCGAAGTCCTTGCTGAATGTAAAATGGCATGCTGCTCTGAGTTGATAAAATGCTTCTGTTTGAAGACCAAAGCAGTTTCACACTTTGAAAGATTCAACGTTTCCATTTACAAACAGTTCATTAGAAATATGAGTAAGGATTTTAACTTTAAATTTTGAATTTTCTGAAAGTTTATAGTTTACAAATTCTGAGAATTTAGAGACATGTCAATGTTGGTGGTCTTTGGTTTGTCTAACGAAGCATTACGTATGGTTCCTATATCTAATCCTAAACAGACCAAAGTGTTTGATAGCTGTTTAATGGAGCAAAGCAGTCTTTCTTGCTTACAGTAAATAAACATATGCATAAGTACGATGGATTTAAAAGAAAATGCCAGAAATGAACTAATGGGTGCTTTAATGTGTCCTCCAAAGTTTAGTTTTTGTGATACTTCCTTGACATAGTGTATTTTAAAATGAGAATTTGGAAAGAATCTTATTTTGTTTATTCCTCAGCCTTCTCTCTCCTGGGAGAGTTTCTCTATATTAATTGCTTCTGTGCTCAGATGCTTCTAATTATTAACCTGCAGGTGTCTCTAATCACTGTGTCTTCCAGCAGAGTTTTGTTCGAGAGCCATTAGCTGTGATGCTTAATTACAATACACTGTACCTAGTTTTGTGTACTGTTTGATTTTCCGATGGCTTCCCAGACCTCAGAAAATAGTTATTGGCAATCATTTTCTACAATTAACCACTGTGCCCTGTATCTCCTTCTCGCCTATTAAATTGGAACCAAGTGTAGAGAATTATACCAGAGCTGAGTGAAGACACCAAGACAAACATAACGATACTTAGTTTCTAGAATATCAGAACCAAGGAAAGCTTGAGAGTTTACTTCCATCTCTTTAAACCTCAAATGAGATGCACATAAAGATGTACATTGTGCCTGAGTATGAAGGTGTGCCATATCCTTCAAAATACTCTGGTCTTTGTACCATAGCGAGTGAAAGCATGTTTGCAAAAGCCATAGTTACAAAAGACTCATCAGTCCAGGGCTTCCTGTGCTGCATCTCAGTTCTGCCCATGTACTTCCCACATTGTTTCAAGAGCTTCAGTAATATGTAAACTAGAAATGAGTGGAATAATGGCAACATGATTTGGGGGCTTAACACTGTGTACATTATTTCACATCTTAAAAAGTACATGTAAATCAAATACTGAAAGGAGAGGGTCAGGCACTGGGGCCCATTTTAGAGGGGCATGGTAGCACATGCCTGTAATCTCAGCACTTAAAGGTTAAAGCAGGAAGATGGAGAGCTGAAGGTCAGCCTGGGCCTTGGGTCTGGCCAGTTACCAAGTCACTAACAAAGGGAGGCAGGCACAGTTTTACATTTCTTCCTTGAAAATCTAATTTCACTCTATATTTTGTATAATTTGACATACCCAGAATTATTAATCAACATATGTTTTATTTTTTAAATGGCTTATTCTAAATAATAAACAGAAGTATTGAACCATTCTCTGAGAATTAGTCTTAAGAACTGAGGTAGCTGTCTTTAATGCACTCAAGGAATTGTGAAATCACGAACCTGGTTGTATTGTTTCTCTATTTAGGGATGTTTAGGGGGAAATGTCCAGAAATCAGATGTTTAAGTTAGTCTGAAGACACAGGAGAATCAATATGTAGCAAGTTTCTAATAAATGACATTGTTAATTTTAAAAAAAATGCATTTTGAATATAAAGCAATATGCATGTAAAGATGTTCACAGGTCAACAGTTCTCTCCAGTCAGGATGCTCATCTGATCTCTGAATAAGTCCCTGACCCAGACGTGGCATCTAAATAGGGCCCTGTGATTATGGCCCTGACATGGCAGAAAGTATGGAAGCAAGAGCCGATGCTGGGATCAAACACATTCTGTCTGGTGGTTTCCATGCCTGCCCTCTTAATTACCATGTAACCTGACTCAGCAGCATCAGCAGGGCACTTGCTGAGTGGTAGGTTGAACTTCTGAAGGATAATGTTTTTTTCTGTGTTGGCCATAAGTTGGTAATTGTTGTTGCTATTGTTGTTCATTAAAGCCCCAATTTTAGCAATATAAATCCTTGCAGAGGTAAAATAAGAATGTATCAGTCTTTTGTATGTCACATTCACGTCACAATTACTTAGTATATGGCACAATATATCAGCCTTGGTTTAACTATTGATATAAAATCAATGTTAAGCACATTTGGAAATATCTTATCATCACTTCTCCCCAGGAATAAACCACTCCCACTACAACCCTGAACTATTAATACAGAGCATCAAAATAGCTTTTGATAACACAGTTTTCTTTCCCCTGAAAATAAAAGTGTTTTTATCACTTTCACCATCTGTTATCTGCATTGCTCAGTATGCTAAAGGGGAGGGGGCAAACCCCCAAACTAATAGAAAATATTGCTAACAAAACAATATAGTTCTAATATTAATAAAGGTTTTCTTAGTGGTTCTTTGATTTTAAAAAGAAATCTAACAACAATTTATAGGGAGAAAGTTCCTCGCAATAATTTAATCAACATTATTCAGATTGTTTATTATTTAATGTATCTACCTATCCATGCTTTTTTGGTGTTGAAATATTTTTTTTGAGACAAGGTCTCCCTGTAGCTCCAATTGTCCTGGAACTTGCTATGTAGACAAGGCTAGTCTCCATCTCCCAGAGATCCACATGTCTCTGCCTTAGTGCTGGGATTAAAGCTTTCAGTCACCACATCTGGCTTCCTATCTGTGCTTTTGGAAAATGTACTCTTGTAATTTTAGGCTAGAAAATTAACTATTATTACACTTGGAAATCAACCCAGTCTTCTTAGTTAGTTGCCATTATCAGTTTGGTATGGGTGTGATAAGATCACTTGTATCTGTGAAAGGATCTTATCTTAACCAGAAGTAGGAGAATGGCCTGTTTTGCTTATTTGACCCTTACACAAAGCATATTCATTATCTGTTGGATTATCTACACTGGGCTTACTTTGTATGGCATAAAGTATTCATCCAATTATAACTATTTAAAAGAAAATGCAGTCTTTTACAAATGTATGTCTAGGACAATAAAACTAGTCATATGTACAATGTATCCTATAGTATATAGAAGATATAAATTGCATGTTTCAGGGCTCCCTTCAGCACCACATATACTAAAATTGAAATGACACAGGGAAGATTAGCATGACTTTGTGCAGGATGACAAGCAAATTTGTGAGATGTTATATATTTTAGGGTACTGGAAAAATGGCTCAGAGCTTAAGAGTGCTTGCTGCTCTTTCCAAGCCCTTGGGTTCTGTTCTCAGCACCCACATAGTAAATCACAACTGCCTCTAACTCCAGTTCTAGGGAATATAATACCCACTTCTCACATTCACAAGCACCAGGCAGTCACTTGGTGCACATACATACATCCAGGCAAACAGTCACATGCAAAAAATAAAAGTAAACAAATTGCTGTATTTAAATACTCATTGAAAATTTTCTTGTATACTTTTTTCATTAAATTTATTATTACAGAATCAAGTCTACTCCAACAGCCTGCAGAAAACAACACATATACAAGAACTCTAAAATTGTGATTGAAACATATTCGTAATTAGTAATATCCCTATCTTGTTCACATTTTGTGGTTAACATAAATGATCTTTAACTTTGTAGTCCCTGGTGAAGACCTTTAATACCCTAGGAGAAACAGTCTACAGGCCTGTTATCTGAGTTCTTTATTCTAATCTTGGAGAATAATGAGGCAACTTCAGTGTATTAATGGTATCATTTTCTGGTTTTTATTCTCAACAGAAGTGTATGATGAAAACCATTTATCTCAAACCAATTTAATATATTGTAGAAGACAGTAAATGAAAGAAATCTTGTATTATGATTTATTTCATGCCATATCATCTAATGTTGCTAACTATCCATTTACTTTATCAGGTGTCCAATACAAGATGGTCTAATTAAATTGTGATATCCCAGGTATTATCAAAGAAATAGTTCCCTAAGATTGTTAAAATCCTTCAATATAGACTTTGCTTGTTATTCAACAATGTTCTTTTTCAAGATCATGTTAAAGAATTTTGCTTAAGATAAAGCCCCCAATTTAATTATTCAAACTCCAGCTATGTCTAGGCTGTAAAGCAATGAGAAAAATTTAGTTTGAGAACTAGTCACTAGTTAATTTAAAATGACAATTTCTGCTTTATTCTTTGTTATCAATAGCATGTTCATAATGATTAATAAACATTTATCAACCCTCTGTGAGAGCACACTAGGGGGTTTAATTATTTTTATTTGCTTAGTATGGGCATAAACACCATTATGAATCATCAAAGTGGCATGTCTTCCCTTGCTTTTTTTTGGTATATAAAAAGCTTCTTATTATTGAAATTAAGTTTAATTGAGCATGATTATGGCTTATAATATAACAATTAAAAATGTGAAATGTGTGAAAATTAGTGCCATTGTTTATAATGAAATTTAATTGAATATCAGTATTTTGAGAAGATTGCATGTGTTGAAAGGATTTTATATGAAGACATAGATAATTTATGAATTATTTGTCATTCTCCAAACATTTTCTGTCGCTCCATTATCCTATAAATTGAACTGTACATGTGAGGGTTGCAAAGATGAACAAGAGGCAATGTCTTCACCCATGGCACTCTCTTTCTGGTGATGAACAGGGTCCTGGACGGAAGCAAATATCATGGTAGAGCTATAGAGACATACAGAGCATGATAACTACCACCAGCTTCACTTCTCAGCTTTGCCCTATAGGAAGGCATTTGTCAGCCAATCAAAGGGACAGATTTGACTTAGCAAGTTGCTAGAATGCTGTGACTACTTCTTTTTCTTCACGTTTCTATGTCTAATATTTTTGAATTACATTGTTATCTTTCTTATTTTTAATTCTAATATCAATGTCTCTTAAGGACAACACATCACATCCACACAAGAGGTAGATGTGGAGAGGGTCTTATCTTCCTAAATAAAGATGATGAGTAGGCTGTTTCTTTTATATACATAAATAAAGGTGAAATAAAGGGATGGAAGTGAGATAGATAGTTAATCTTTTAGAAATGATCTGGGTAAATGTAAGTGAATCACATGCATTCCAACCCTGTTAAATAAAAAAGGGTTGCAATTAACCCTGAAAATGTCAAAATAAAAATAATAGATAGACTATGTGAGTGATACAAGGTTTTTTTTGTGAATTGGAGCCATATAGAAAACAGTGACTATTTAAGACCTAAGGAATTTCATGTATGTTTGTACA